ACTTCTTAGACAACTTTCCAAAGTGTGAGCCTAAGAAAGAATCGTCCAAAAATTTTCTTTTGTTTCTTCTTCATCTCATCTGCAGCATTGCAATAAGCGTTTGCAACCTTGTTCCATATGTTATGCTCCATAGAGTTGCATAAGTCTTATATTTTTAGTTAATTACTTTCAATAATAATATAAATGAGTCCAAGCAACGAAATTAAAAACCAGCAGCAACAACAGCAGCAGCGACAGACACAATGACTTTCAAATACATATTAATTTTGAACGCCTTGAATTCATTGATCAAAAGAAAAAAGAGTGCTGTTGATAACAAAATTGTCCAAAAGAAACAAAAAAGTACTTATGTCCAGTATGCAACGAATTGTTTTGCGTACTTCGTTATGTTGTAATGGCGTGGGATACATTTCCAGTCTTATGCTTATAAGTTCTTTAGAACAAACAAATAAACGCTAGGACTAAAATGTACGATGAGACCTAGCAACTAAGACTGGCGGCTCTTTTTTTTCCAATAATAAATTTAATTATTATTAAAAAAAAGTAGCGAACACTTAAGAAAACGAGTGATATTTAAGATGAAATTTGAGGCAACTTTCACCGTTTAGGCAGAACTGTTTAGGCAGAAAATTCTAAAACAAAGTGAAAGCGTCAGTTCTTTTGAAGAAAGTTTACAAATTCAAGGATTGTTGAGTGTTTTAAAAATATTTGTTTACTGTCAAGCAAATACCGGCAAATACCGATATATTCATTCGGTTTTGCTGGAAACGGTTTATTGTGTAAGGTCTTTGAAGTACATTTCGGAATGCTGCAAATATTTGACAAATATGCCTCTCGTCAAACAAGTACCGGGAATTATTAACTTACACTGAAAGTTATGATTAAATCGATTTCGCTGTATATAAAAACTTTATCAGTATCTATTCTAGAAGATCTATTTTAAAAGATTATTTCGAAGCGTCGTAAATATTTACTCATCCCGTCAAGAAAGTCCCGGAAACAGTTAACTTGCAATGAATGATATGATTAAATCGACTCTGCTTTATACGGACACTTAAGCTTATACAAATTTAGGTTAGATTTTATTTTGGTAGATTCGGAAATCATCCATTTAAACGAGCAATGAATTTTTGCGTAATTTTGCTACATAGAGTGTCACTCTATGCCGCATACGTGAAAAGCAAATGCGCTCACCATGTCGGAAAAGTACCAAGACGCACATCAGTAATCATATGTGGAAAAAAAAAACTGATTTTGTGTTGAGAGAATCCCACATTATCTGGCAGCAAATTACAGTGCCATCTAACAAGTAGACTACGACCTTCTTATTAAAGCGACTTTCTGCGACTGCTTCCAAATTATTTTACAATGTAGCAGTTATATTAAAATCTTAAATCTACGATTGATCATTTTGAGCACATTCGCATACAGTTGCAGCATATACATGCAGTATTTGATTATAGCCCTTTATCCTCTCGAATCACTTGTCGCATCAATTGTAGCGATCATAAAGACGCGTGAGGATGTCATTTAAAAGAATGCTGATAGGAGTTCGAAATTTTCTCCTACCGAATGAAGAAATTATTATTTTTTTTTTTATGCAGTCGGTTTCTATCCGCATTCTGATTTATGCGTTCCAATTTAATGCAACAAAAACAGTCTGCACTCCGGGCATATTCAGTTACCATATTTAGAAAATCGAATAAAAAAAGATATTGTATAAAAAAAACCGCGCAAACACAGCTGTAACTATATGTGAATGTCGGTGGGGAACTGTATTTGTCGATTACGCAACATTCTCATTTCCACGATCACCTTTTGCCATATTTCGCACTACGATCTTCATATGCGTGAATGCAATGATGCTTTGAATTGTCAGGATATTGACTTTAAATGATTTTCATGCAAAAACATTTTCTACCGAAAAGACTGGATTTTTGATAATGCTTTCATGAAAACCCTTACACCACTCAATTATATACTGGATTATTTAGTGAGAAATTGTTTTTTTTTTTTTTTTTTTTTTTTTTCAAAAAACCAGTCAATTAGAACCGCCAATACTCGAAGCAAGGTGGATCTTTTTGCTGCTTGCATGCGCCATACCTTAATCAACAGGGCTTTGTAAAATGTTTCATGCAACCAACGAGCCGAACGCGTTATCAAAAGCAACGTTCGTTAAATACTATATAGTGTGAGTGTCCAAAATTGAGATTCGAACGTCACAGGAATTCACATTTTATTACAAACATCCGTCACGTCGTCGCCAAGTTTTCGTTAGAGATCAAGTATATGATTCTTCAAAAAAATGCCAAGAGATATAACTTTTAAACCTTTTAGGGATCGGTTTTTTGTTTTTTTTTTGTTTGTTCATGTATTTATTGCTTAATTAGCAATTTTTAAGAGTCATAAGCATTTAGTTTTTTTTTCTTTTTTTTTTAACAAAACTTATTCACGATTGTGTGCTTAACGTGCCGTTAATCTGTCCTTGATGGGATAGATCGAAGAGATAGAAGAGATCGCTACACATAACAATAATGTTAAAAAAGCAAGTAAGAACGTCATAGTCGGGCAAGGCCGATCTTTAAATACCTCACGCCGGACTAACACAATTTCTACTTTTATGTGGAATTACTAAAACAGATCAAAGGATCCAATATCCTGACATGGGAAAAGATCCAAAAAATAGGCCAAGATGGTCCCAATTTGATGCAGTTCATTGTTTATGGTAAATTACCAATATGATATGATTTTCACCATAAAGCATTGAATATTACACCTTTTTGTCTTGTGAACTTTAGTTTTCATTATATGAGCGAGAGTACAAAAATTGCCCCGGTCGTTCCAAAGTTTTCACACCAATTTAGAATGCCGAAATAGTAGTACTTGGCCACTTTTGCCGAGAAATTTTGAAAATTACAATATTTTCCCATATAATGACTTTTCAGAATAGGGCATCGTATAGGGAGTGGTCGAAAAAGTGGACTGATCCGAACCATTTTCAACAGCGTTCGTTCTTGGCTCAAAACCCGTCACCGAACCAAATTCAATAATTGCGGCCTGTAGTTTTAATACAAATTTACATGGACAGACAGACAGACAGACAGGCTTAGATCAATTCAGATTATGATTCCGAATCGATCGGTGTAATAAAACGTGGGTCTATCTAAAGTCATTCTGTCTGTTACATACGTCCACATTAACTTAATATACCCTGTACAGCAAGCAGTGTACAAGGTAAGGCTAGTAAAAAATCAAACATTCGCTTAAAGCATTACATACATAAAATTATTTATCACCAGTTATAATGAATTGTTCAATGTGGGAACTATATATGGGATTGTACAGATATTGAACAGAGATTGGACGATTATACCATGTCGAAAATCTCTCTCTGTAGAGATATAAAATACATTTTAAGCATAAACTTTAAACATTATGAACAGCAAGTTTTTCAAAGAAACAAAGCATAAAATAAAAATCAAGTAACTTTTAACACAAGTTTATGTAATCGTTTCTGCCACGCCTGGCTATAAAACAATGTTGCAAAGTTAAATGCTTTTCATTGCAAAAGTCATAGTACTACGTTAGCTGCATGAAAAAGTATTTAGTATTTCTCTCTCTTCACGTATTGTTTTCGTCCTTTATAATGCGATTCTTTTCATTAATATTTTTAATTTTTGAAAGTTGCACACCCTCTTGAAAGATCCACATTCTGTACAGACATGCAATACAATTACAATGTTTACGAATATTTTGAAGTTTTAGCCGTTCTACAGCACTCGTATTACGAGGTTTTATTAAGTTTGTGCAGATGTGCACTAAAGTTCAGAGAGCTCGGGATAGATTCGTCTTTTATTATATCGATCGATTCAGAGTCAATTACTGAATCGATCTAAGGTTGTCTGTCCATCGTACGTTCATTTCTTGATATTAAGGGTTGCAATTCCCGACATAATTTGATGAGCATTGGTTCACCGATATCTTTTGGCTCATAGAGGAACGTTGTTGAAAATGGTTTCGCTCGAACCAATTTTTCGAACATTTCCACTATAAGATCGTTCGCATTAGTAAAGTGAAGTCGTGTCGGCTATTTAATTGATGGGCAGTGTCTCACCATAGAGTTTTTCACCTGGGCATCTAATGGGCACCAACTTAGCGTTCGCTGTAGATTCGAACAAATATAGTCAAGCTGCACTGCGAATTTTAACCCGTGAACATCGAAGATGCGGTAGTTTAATTAGTTATCTATGCACGCATTAGTTTTGGCTCGATAGGTTACGTGCCATTAAAGCTAAGATTACGCAGATGTTAGGCCATCTGTTAAGGAAACATGCCACGAAGTTTTTACTTTTGGTAATATATTCTTAAGCAGCGCGTTATTCGAAATATTCCATCAATGTTTTTAAATCCTTATCATCAGGAAAATTGCGATGAAAAAGCAAAACTAGGCACTACCCACTAACATGAGTAGCGTGAATAGCGAAGCAGGTGAAGAACTGTAACTACCAAATTAGTGTTCGCAGATAGAGCTTCCTTTGGTCGCAGCTATAGCGAGTGCTTCGTCGGTAAGGACATGACATAAAAGATGATTCGGCACAAACTTCATAGGCAGGGACAACATCATTCCCGTATCTCATCCTCTATCCTTACTTCACAGTCATACAAAAAAAAAAAAAAAACTAATTCCTCGCTACAGATGAAAATGAAAACCGACTATAAACTGTTATCCAAATTATGATTTTGTACATCTAAAATTCTGTAACTGATAAGTTTTATATTATATTTTTTTAACTAACGCAATGCTTTGTTGTTTTCTAAATTCGCTTAAGGTGTTGGGTATCTTCAGATTAATCTCAAAATTTACATAAATTACTTATATTTTTTGTATATATTTCTAATGAAAAATTTTTTTTTTTAAAACCAACCAAACCAAACCAAAACAAAAAAAAAAAAAAAAAAAAAAAAAAAAAACAACAACACTTTTCTATATTTGTTTTTAGGATTGGCTTGTGGGACATGCGTTTTTGAATCTGATTTTGGTTTTATACTGAATTGTAACTTCAAAAAGTCTGGACTGTTTCGTGTCAGAAATTTGGGTGGTCTAAAGGCGCACTTTGGTTTAGGTAAATTTTCTCTATTAAAACTTATACATAACCTATAAATTTTTTTACAAAATTTTTTTTCTCAAAATGTATACTAATTTTGTATATAGTAAGAAAAAATATATATATATACATACATATTTTTACTTAACTTTGTTCTTTTAAATCCTAAGCGCCAATGGGTTAAGAAGTCAAAATTCGTATCTGCAATTTTCCTTATATTATTTGATCAATTAGTTTTAATTTTTTTATTTTTTTTTTTTTTTTTGGTTTTGCTTTTTCTAAGGTTTTAGTTTGGGTGATGAATTAGGTTTCGCTGAGTCGTTGGGAAATTTAGAAGGGGGTCGTCGTCGAGCCATTAGTTATAGAAACGGTCCTGTACCTAATGGTGTGGGCGTATTGCCAGCTTCAGTTCAGCAGGTAAAATAATTTTTAACTTAATATCATTGTAAATTTTTTCGATTCGTATTTCTAATGCAGGCCGAGGCTCAAGCGTTTAACGATAAACATGTCAAATCGCGTTCCTCCTTAATGCTAAGTCCCGAACTTACGGAATCATTAGTAAAACAGGCTAAAGCATCAGAAAAGTCAGCTAAACAAGCTAAGCAAGTGCCGCTAATGACTGAAGCGAGACCTTTACCTTTGGGAGTACCGGCATTTCGTCCTATACCCGCAAGAGCACCTAGCATACAGATGGCTCAACGACGCCATCACGTTGCCATGGATGCCGCTCATCCTAAACTGAGAGTTAATAATAAAATTGTTGATGAATATCAATATAATACCGTAAGCACTTTTATCGCATTTTAAAATTAAAATTAAAAACTATGTACTCTGGCTTCTCATAGAATCGAAATCACACGTTCCACGTGCACAATCCAGTTATTTCGCAGCCTGTAGCGGTACCACCCTTTCAAGCTATGCCCAATTCAGTCAATAAGATAACTACAGTTTTAAAGGCAACAGAACCAATTCCTCAAACCGACATCTCTCACAACATAAATCCTAATTATATGCAATTCGAAGAACCAAAATTCGATTTAAAAGATATTACGGTCGAAGAGTTAGCATCAGCCGCTAATGTAAGCGTTGATACGATTAAACGGGCGATATATGTGCGTGAACAAGAAATGCGTGCCGAGTATCGTGCTATGTTAGCAGCGAAATTGCGCCAGGAATTTATGAGAACATCTCCGTCAACTGCGGCCACAACAAGTACTACGACAACTACAACCGCTAAACCTAAACTAAGCATTTATAATACTATACCTGCAGTAAAGTCGGGAGAAATACTGATACCAAAGGTAAAGTAAATGGTTTCAAGAAATTTTTGCATTAGCCTTGAGGTTAAACTTTTGTATCTCCGTTTGAGAGTTAAAACTTTGATTTTGTTAAGGAAACCCCTTACTCCCGACAAATTCATAAGAATTGTCCTTTAATGCTGATGATTGCAGCGATTTTATAAAAGGAAGGATGGGATCTTAAAAGAAAATAAAGTTTGCTCAGTGGGATTATTTAACTGGTCTTTGTAGCCTACACCACTTATGACTTGGTGTATATTGAGTTAGTGCGGACATATGTAAGGGCTTAAGATAGATCCATCCCTCTTTATTCCGATCCATACAGAATCATAATCTGAATTGATCTAACCCTGGCTGTCTGTCTGTCAATGTAAATTTGTGTTCAAGCAACAGGTCGCAATTTTAGGGGTATTTTGATGAAATTTGATACAGTGACGTGTTTTGACTGAAGGACGAACACTGTTGAAAATAGTTCGGATGGATCCACTTTTTCGACCACTCGCCACAGAACTGAAAAGCCCGCGCATTTGGGCAGAAATAGCAACTTTTCAAAATTTCTAGGCAAAAGCGGTTAAGTAGTAGTATCTCGGCATTCCAGATTGTTGTAATAACTTTGGACAGGCTGGGGCGATTTTTTGTACCCCCTCTCATAGAACCGTTTTTACAGAAATGGAAGCTTTATGTAATAAAGAAAATGGTGAAAATCAGATCGTATCAGTACATTGACAAAGAAATCTACCTTACCGCATTTGGACCACGTAGATCCATTTTTTTGATACCATTACATATAAGGATTCTAATCAAACGTAAACCCTGATATGCCGAAAAAGTTATGAAACTTTGTTCATGATAGTAATTTAATATAAAAATTATTTGAACCACTTGGGTCTATTTCTTGGCCCCATTTCACGTAAGAAAAAGGAAAAAGGCTTAATTTTTAATATTTTATAACGAAAATGAGTTCATAGTAATGATTACGCGTGAAAATTAACGGTAGAGAATTTCGATCACATTGGTCTGTTTTTTTGGACTCTAACATATGTGGGCGTTGCCACGAAAAGCAAGCTCCTACATAGAGAGAAAGTCTAATCTTCCGATACGAGGGCTTTTACGAAAATCATGTGTATTATTCTAGTGTATTATTAACAAAACGAGCGAATAACTGCACTCGGCGATTGTGCTGTAGGCTGTGTAACTTACTCAACAGTCACGAATGAAAATTGACCTTGACTCTTTGCCAATCCTTATGCGCTGACACATGCAGTGACGATCGCTTGACTTGCAGTAGTAGTGCAATAAACTGCGCCTTCTTTGCTTGTTAACTAGTGGGTGAAATCGGACGAACAAGAAGGCACCTTCTTTGAACGAGGAGCATGCAATCAAAGCAGAGCAAAGTTTTTTTTTTAGTTTCTCCTAAGTCGCGCCATCATTCATCATATTACTTATTAAAGATGAGCATTTCTCATATTATAGGTTATGAATGCCCCTAAAGAGTATTATCCCGTGGGTTATGAGAAAAATTTCGATGATAATTTTAAATCAAAAGTAGATTTGCCGCCAACTACTTTCTCTTGCGCGACACAGAAACATTTTCCTGGCCTGTATGCCGATACTGAACTTGGATGTATGGTAAGTTGCATATGATATTCATTTTCAAAATTTAATACGTGATCTATTCTTTAGGTCTTTCACGTTTGCGCTTTAACCGATGATGGGATGGTACGTAAATCGTTTTTATGCCCGGAAGATACACTTTTTGATCAAACAATTTTGAAATGCAATTGGTGGTTCTATGTAGACTGTATGGCCAGTCCGAGTGTCTACGATTCGAATATACCCATTTCGAAAAGTTATCAGTTAATGAAATCGCTCAGCTATTTTTCAAAATATGCTCAAAATATTAAAGATAAAGACACGAATCACGATGGCGAGGAGAGCTCTCGTTATGACACCGAGGCAGATATACAATTGCTGAAAAATGCCATGTTTAGCAAAGATTTTGATCGAGCTGCTGATACAAGCCAAGAACTTCAAAACACACATGAACAGCTAGATAAAGAAATACAAACTTTGGGAAAAACTCAAGACGAGCATCAACATTTAACTGAGTCATAGAAATGATCTTAATATACTAATTAAATCAAGTTGTTAATACGTGGATAATATATATTCACCATCGAGCGACAGTTTCATGAGTACATTTTAGTCATATTTGCAAGAAATCCTTGTGAATACTCGTAATAACAGTTAATCAACTAAAGCGTTAGAATAAAAATTTTGCATTCATTCCTTTAGGGTTCGTGTACTGGATAAGAGTTTAGACAATGATTTTTATTTTTATTTTGTATTTAAATTTTATTTTAAAATAATATGTAAGTTGTTATATACTCTTTTTTTTTTTTTTATTTTTTTTTTTTTGTATATTAAAAAAAAAAAAAAAAAAAAAAAAAAAAAAAAAAAAATAAACAAAATTCTTAAAATAATTGATTTGCGTGTAATGAAAAATAATCAAATGATTAGCAGAATTTCTTCATGCAAAATCCGCATCAAGACTCAGGTCTCAGATATTTGAGAAAACATCCATACCTTACACTTAACCTTATTCCTTATCTCAGTTACTTTCTTCTTGCTTTCGCTAAAAAAAACAAAGCTATTCGAAATCCTTCGACTTCGAGCTGGAGCAACATCATCAAATTAAGGCAACACATCATAAGTTACGGTGATGTCATTAAAATGCCTTGGGTACCAAGTCATATCGATTTATTCAGAAATAAGCAAGCTGATCGAGCGGCGAAGTATGCTGCTTTTGCACGCCCAATTATGGACGATTTCATGGAAATGTTAGAACTTCAAAGATACATTGGAAAAAAAGTCAAGGAGAAAATTATGGAACGATATCTACAGTACTATCATCGGCGCTACTCCTCTCCTTTTGGTAAACCTCAATTAGTGTCACCTTTATATTCCACAAAATATTGAGAAACTCAAGATCAAAACATTTTCGAGAATTCATTTTGGCAGACCAATGGATCAATAGAATTATCAAAACTACTAGGCTCGATATCTAATTTTCTTTTCTATGATAGAGCTGATAGCTTATGTTGGTAGTTGGTGTTAAATGTTTTTCTTCGGGGCTAAGAATTTATTTAATTACAGTAATAATAACAATAATGCTTTCTGTTCACATAAGAATCGATTCTAACATTATAAATCCATTTCTATAAATTGCTCGAAACCAAAACTAACTAACTGCTAGGGATATTCGTTGCAGAATGTACAAAGCTCGGCTTGTCTATTCGAATCAAAAAGCCCTTATAGCACTTTTCAATTATTTATTTACTTATAATATAAGCTTTACTTTCATTCGCTTTATATTGAACACTTTTCCTTAAGAACAGACCTTTTTTGTAAGGTGAACGCAAAATATGTGCCCACGTCGTCGCATACTTTCTGAGTTCAGTCGATATTTACAAACTTTAAGTGAATCGAATGCAACTCTGTGGCAATTATTTTATTTTTTCTGTGTAGGTGAAAGTAGATTCGTATTTTTTTTTAGTTTATAAAGCACAGCCAATTGACTTTACTTCTTAGAAGATCTTCTTTTCCCATACTTTCCAAGTTTCTGCATTCACTTTTTTCGTTTATCGTGTGAACATATATAAAGTTACTATAGATTCTTTTGCCCCCCGATTGAGCATAATAAAAACCTCCTGAGCTGCTACATCACTATATTTCCGAATTATAACTTACAGTACTAGCCGTTTGATGTCTTCCAATTTCGTTGAACTTATCGTTGCATGCGTATTCCATTCTATAGTCTATATTTAAATATTTGACGTAGATGACAGCGTAGGATTCTGAACTGATTTACCCATATTCGTCTATTCATCTGCGATGGTTTGTTGATGGATAGCAAAACTTGCAAGATAAAGCGTAGTTCGCATAAAGAATCTCACTTGAACGCTAAGAAAAAAATTCGCAAATGGACGTTATCCAAGGCCGGTTTACGGTTCTCTTTATCGAGTAAACTCGATCATAATTTGGACATGTTATCCGGCAGCAATTTTTCATTCGATAATAAGAGGAATGCTTACTTTATCAATGGTTGCAAACCTCTATTCTCTACTCGTGGCAGCGAGTCCATAGTCCACAGCTATTGACTTTATTTGATCGAGCTTACTCATTATCGGTCCCTGGTGCTCGCAACCATTTAAAAGGATGTTATCGTTTTCTATAACCTGCAATCTACGGCCAATAGATTTTATAAGCCTATAATAAAAATCGCGCAAATATGTGTATGACGGCAAAGGCCAGCGACTCATCCAATTGCGAATGCAATTTTAGCATTTATCATCATTAGATTAATTTGACACAGTGGAAGACTGCTGCATTAAAACCAATTAAGATTTCGAACCGAACTGAGTTCAGTGCGTTTGTTTCGATTACAAAATCTTCAGCACTGTTCATTACATCTACACAAAATTTATCACTATATCTTTTTTACATGTTTATTTTTTGGTATACATTTTTATTAAATAGTGTTAAATATTATCGCTACTCTCATCTGCAGAGACATTAACTTCAAGGCGTCAATTGAAAAATTCGTAGAACAACAATTCACAAATAATAATCATGAATGGAATTTTAAGCAAAACTATTCCAATGCGGCGGCTATTTCGTATTGCGAAAAAAAAACTTGTAATCGGAAAAACTATAATGAAAATTTCTGCCGCATTTTTTTAATTTTAATCAGAAACTACAACAGCAAAACGTTTCTAAGCCAAGAAGGAAAAGAAAAATAACGCTGACCTTCAAAGAAACGCTGCATTTTTCGTTACATTCTCTTCAAAAAATACCTTTGGATTTTGTAATTCCTAGAAATTTGTTCCTTCTACGAATGAACTTTAGTTGCTGCTTACAGAATTGAAGGGCGCTTACTTACGGTCCCTGGCCCAAATGTTACAGCATTGGTTGCAAGTGGGATGCACACAGCAGTCGTCGCCTTACAGTTCTCATTATTCAGGAATCGTACGATACGAACGATAATACCAATAAGATTTGTTCTTTATTCTAACAAGTTTAGGTTCCTGGAACTGAAGCACCTTTATATATCCTACCGGCTAAATCTACCGGCAAACTTTTTGATCGATTTATAAAGTGATTCTGAAGGACAGATGGACCTATCTCAAGTCATTCTAGGTGTTTTTCATACATTCACACAAACTTTGTACACCCTTGTACACCAGATAAAGGCGTTAAAATCGGTATTATTCATCATTTTGATTTAGGTAAGAAAATAATTATATTCGTTTAACACAACGGAATGTCTTGCAAACGTGACTTCGCTATAAACGAATTTGGAGAAATCTTATTGGTTTTTAACGATATTCACCAGTGTCTCTTCCCCCCTTTCACTTCATTTGTCCACAAACCTTTAAGGTAAGTCTGTAAGTTAAGCAACTTGCTTAAAATCGAAAGATTAAAACGATGGTAAGCATAAAATATTGAAAAATCTCTCTCCAAATAAACTGAAAAGAATCTCTTCGAGAAATGTTTTGCGTTTAAGAATGATAAGAAAATAAGAAATGTGTTAGTAAACATTCACTCCACGAATTTTTTTTTATCAAGTCATATACATACATACATGTTAGTTTATTTTCATAATACCATTTATCGCTGTGTTGTTGTTAAGGTATCCGGTTTCCTTTAACTTATGGAAAAGTTGAAAGTCGATTTTCTTGATTTAGTGCGTTTGTGTGGGCTTATAGTCACGGGGACTTTACATATTTTCTATTTTATCAGTATTACGCTAATCTATTGAAAAGCGAAGCAAAAAAAAAAAAAATGCTTCTTTTTTTTTTATTTTTATTAACATGGTTTTCCCCATTTCTTAACCTGTTCACTGACATCGAATTAATCTGCACAATTACATGCACACGGTCATCATCACTGTGTTTGGTCATATTATCATTAGGCCAAAAAGTAGCGGCAGCGTATATTCACTTTCTATTTCAATATTCAAAAGTCTTTGGAGATTCATTCGGTTAGGACGTAATTTCATAGCATAACCGGAAATATATTTGAAAAAAAATTTCTTTAATTTAATTTTTTTTTTTTTGAAAATGAAGAGAAAAATTGTTCAAATATACATTTGGTGCTTTATTGTTTTCGTTCTATTAATGGGTGAGTTATCAGATTAAACAAGAAAACAAAAAAAAAGAGCGGGCGGCAATTTCCAAAGATCATATTCGCAATCGTCCTATATAAGGATATCCATGATAACTTGTCTCTCTAAAGAAATACGCATTAATGTGAAAAAGAAAATTTCGAAAGGAACGGCAACGAATTAATTTTATCGATGTGAATATTGAGATTCGCAAGAGGATTTAAAATAAATTTTAGAAGAAGTGAATGGAAATTTTGAATAAATAAATTTTTCTTACATAACTCAATGCACTTATGTCCGGCCCAAGTAAACTGTGCTTCTTAAGTTCATATCAGCATACTATTACAGATCATTTACAACTAGTTAAACTTTATCAAACTTCGTATTAACTGTGTCGACCGTTATTGAAATGAAAGATATATGAAAGATAACCGCCTCTTTCATAAGCTAAACAAAACGAAACTGAACGTTACAGTTGCCATTACGCTCCAGTTAACACAAACAATGTCAGTGTCAGTTTACGTCATAACAAGTGGCCCCAAGAGAAATGCTGCATTTTTCGTTACACTCTTATATATATTACTATTCCCACTTGCAGTAGAGGAAGGAAAGAAAGTTCACTTGAATAGAAATATTGTGTCAGTTTATGTCATAACAAGTGGCGCCAAGAGAAACGCTGCATATTTCGTTACACTCTTATATATATTAATATTCCCACTTACAGTAGAGGAAGGAAAGAAAGTTCACTTGAATAGAAATATTGTGTCAGTTTATGTCATAACAAGTGGCCCCAAGAGAAACGCTGCATTTTTCGTTACACTCTTATATATATTAATATTCCGACTTACAGTAGAGGAAGGAAAGAAAATTCACTTGAATAGAAATATTTATGATTTGATTTCCTAACATTTTTTTTTTAAGTTTTTATAAATTAGTTTTTAAAAACTTCTTTCTGTGAATTTCTTCATTCATTTTCTCTTCCTAAGCAGATTCCATCGCTTCTGCGCGTAAAATTAAACGTAAAGGTGCTTATTTATCTCAAGCTACCGGTCCATCTTCTTATGGCAGTGAGCCATACAAATATGAAGAGATTCATAGCGTAGAGTATGCCAACCATCAACCATACTCCGAGCATTACGAGTACGAATCTGCTCAACAGACTACCTTATCGAATACTTATTTAATGGATAATGGTTTGCGTAGCATAGCCAAAGGTTCCGCTGATCAGGCCAACTCAGCTGTGGCTTCACAGAATGCTGCTGCTAAACAAGCAGCATATGTAGCAAAAAATACTTTGGCCCATGCAGCTTCTCAAGCAGCCAATACGGCCGTAGCCGTGCTTAAAGGTAAAGAAGTTCTATTGCAACGTTTAGAAGAACAACTTACTGAAGCACACAAAACAATGCAAAGTGAATTACAACAACTGCAGCAAGCTAAGCGTTCAGCCCAAGCTGCCCAATATGCTGCAGAGCAAGCAATTAATCATGTCTCCATATTGACAGCTGCTTTAAATAATGCTCAAAGTGCCTCAGAACTAGCACAGAAAGCCGCATCAGAAGCTGCAGGCGAACTAGCTTCACAAATCGATATGGTCGCACAGGCTAAAAAGAAAGTAGAAGCGATAGAAACTCAACTATATACAACGCGTTTAGATTATCAAGAGACCAAAGATGCGGCTGAGAAAGCAACGTTTTCAGCCCAAGCAGCGCAACACAATGCAAATGATGCAGCGTTGCACGCTAATGTTGAATTAAGTGCCAGTTCTGGTGGAAGCTTGCAAGCGCTCCAGGATGTCGGTGAACATCATGCGATTATAAAACGTACTGACAAACATGGCAGAGACAAACTTTATGGCGCATAATTTATTTTGAAATCGTTGGATGCCAAAAAGCAAGATTTAGTGTTAATTAGTGTGAAAGATTATTATTGTTGTTAGTTTTTCTTTTACTTTGAGTAAATTTATTGAAATTTATTTTTATCTTACTTCTGATATACATAATTAGACGGATTATGAGATGAAAATGGTGATCAGCAATGTGTTGTCTGCGTAATAGTTGAAGAAGTACGTTTTTGACGATATAATAGCTGTACACAAGTACTTAATACCGGAGGATAAGGAGCATCGCATTGTGTTTGTATATATCGCATAAGATATATATATATCGTCGAGATGTTACCATATTTAAAAGAATAATATTATTTTGTATGTATTCCTCTATCAGCATGAATAGGAAGAATTTATTTGTCCGATGTAACGAGGGGGCGGTTAGAAAGAAGTGAGAAAAGATAAAGATGTAGAGAGCTGGCAATAGGAGGCAAATTTTAAAATTTTTCTTAATTTTGAGATGGTTTACAACGGTTAGCTTCGACATGCTTGATAAAACAACAAAATAGAAGAACGAAATAATAGAACATTTAAATAATGTCATAATAGGATATAACAATAAAATAGTACAACAATTGAGTTATAGATACGCACAATATGTACACAATATCTGGTGGCACGTACAAGAAGTAACTGATTATAGAATAATATGACAGCGGATAATTCTCATGTAGCAGTTGCGTTGCGCCCTTTCTTCCAAAGGATCTAAAATTGGTCGAGTAGTATTGCGAACGCAGTAGAGTGTGATTGTGCATAAGAAAAACAATAGGTTTGTTAACTTAGCGTACACGAGGGATGAAGAGTCCTTATTAAGGAAACATGATATTTTTCCTTAAAAACTTTTTCCGTAAAAACTCATGTAGTGACTGTCGCAGGTAAAGGAGTGAAAAGTATGATAATTGTAAAGGTTGTGACAAAAAAATTGAACTGAACAAGAAGTAAAAACAATTATTCACTTCTTATAACTTCTTTGTGCACTTTGTGAACTGGCTATGGTGAAACCAAATGAATTGCATTGGAGTTGAGTTTTCGCTAAAACGGCTGAAAGACGTTATCTGGTTGTATAATTTTGAGTACCTTACACACTTCACAGAATGTAGTATTATGTTTAGGTCTACATACAACCGCACACAATTAACAAATTGCAACGTGTGGGTTGAAACCAAGAATACAAGATGGACAGATGGACGGACAAGCTTAGAATCACTTTCTGAATCGATCGATATAATAACAGGCAGAAGTGCCATATAAAAAGCCCATAAGCTTCAAAACTTTCCCATACCAGTTCACAACAAGGTCCTAAAAGGGCCCGATACAATTCACTTCTAATTAGGTTCGTTGTGGGGCCAAAACATGTGTGCGTAAAACTTTTCATCAAAACAGCTTAAAAACTCACCCTTGGAGGTGGAGCACAAAAATACGTGAACATGCTGGCTCCTATATCCATCCCCATAAATTTAACATATCCTATATCACAAGTAGAGTCACACATCATTAAAAGCTTAATTGTGGAGAAAATGAGTAGCAACTTTTTTAAAATTTTACCGAAAATTCCAAAAATTCCCCTAAAAAACGTTTTTAACAAAAGATATATATGAAATATATATATATAAATATATAGATATGTAGGAGGAATTTCAGAAAGAAAAGGCAACTGGCATATAAATATAATAAATATTCACACATCCAACTTGGACAGAAGGTTAATCGGCGAGGTTATCAGAGTACAGACGTTGACGCTCTCTTCGTCGTTTTAAATTTTTCAAGTATCGTATATACTTTAATTGGTCGGACGATAAACGACGTTTGGTCGCGGCACGGCGTGATCTCTGCGCATTGACTTTAGCTTCGTGGGCGGCACAAGCCGCCTTATAAGCTGCTTGTTTGGTGTTGGCAAAGTCTTGACGAGCAGAACTCAATTGCCGTAATAATTGTTCAACGCGTGATTTAGCCGCTTCTAATAGTTGAGCTTTTTCGGCGACTTCGGCTTGAGCACCGTTAGCAGCCTGTTCAGCGTTACCAACATTCGCTTGAGCAGTTTGCACCGCTTGCGTCAGTGTCTTTAATTGAGCATGCGCCTGTTGAGCAGCACGCAGGGCTGCATTGATGTTACCTTGAGCATTTTGTAATGAAGCAGTTTCTTCTTGGACCACAGCCTCAGCTTCTCGTACTTCTTGTTCCAATGTTTCGACAATTTGTTGTTTACCTGCTAATGCAGCTTCAGCGGCTTTAGCTGATTGCATTGCTTTTTCAGCCAATTGAGACTTCACTTGTTGAGCGGCCGCTTGGCCGGCAGCGTTTTGCGCTTCCGAAGCAGCAGTGGCTTCCTGGGCGGCTTTTTGTGCTATATTGGTTGCCTTCTGCTTCGGGTTACCTTGAGATATTTTTTCAGCTCCCTTGCATTCTTGCTTACCGTTGCAATTGTTGCCGTCGACGCTAGCCAATGAGAAGCCTGGTATCATGCGCTTCCGATATTTCTAAAACAATACCCGAAGAGAAGAAAAAGAACACATGCTGTAAGCTATAGCAACTACTTCGAAATCAACTCACCTTATTGATATAACCTTGCGCTGTGCTTAGCGAAAATACTAACGTCAGTAAATATCCAAGTAATAAAACTACACGAAATCTCATAGTTCGTTATTTTTATAATAAAAATAAAGGACTAGAAGTTTTTTTTTTTTTTTTTGTTTCTTTTGCTTTGTTTTGTGAAGAAAATATGTCACAACAAAAAGGCCTCAATTCGGACGAACATTTATTTTGCTCAGATGTTTTTTGTGTGCAACACGTGGTTTTGGCAACAACAAGATACATAGGCCCTCGTGTTTGCCGAAGCATTGACAGCAACAAATTGAACAGGCCCACGACTTGTCAGAAATAAAAACAATGTTTCTTGATTGAAGCTAAATTGTTCACGTTTTGCATTAGTATTTGTTTTTCATTTTGTTTTATTAATTATTTAAGCGATTTAAGGCCAAAGCAACCAATTTTTCGGCAGATTCGTGATATACAAAATTTTTCATTTGATATTGTGTCGAAATTCCAGTGCAGGTCCCTAAGAAAACTTCAAGAAGGTCGAAATGTGCCGCGGGATTGGATGGATATAGAGTCGTTGGAAGATGTCGTTAACGAAACTGAGAAAAAATCTAAGCAAATTTACAAATTTTCGGTTTTTAAATATTTTTCTTCTTCTTATGAAAATGCCGCATGAACATTACATGCTTGAAGCGGAATTAATAATGAGTACCAGATGTGCGACGTTGCAAGGACCTACGTATTATAATTAAGTATATTTTTAGATATAAGAGAATCAAAAGCAATACATTTTAATGAAAGTAAGTTCTTCACTCAGTATTTAAAGAAAGAAGTCCGTCTACCGGTTTTTTTCATTTTGGTTGCAAGACACCAAACGTCTGTTAGCGATGCATGAGTTATATATCGCAAAGAAATGAGTTAAGTGGAAATCAAATTTTACACGCACACGCAAATGGTGAGAGATACTCCAAAAAGGCGAAAAGCAATCTTAATACCTACAAAGGTCTAATCGAACGACTTGTTTTAAGTTCCTCAAGTTAGATTTACTCAGCAAATTGTAATAAGTAGTGTTTCTTAAAAGATCTCTTGATCTGAAAAACTCTGGAAAATGAACAAGAGATGAATTTAGATGTGATCGTAGTCTTTAAACATCATTGACGGTAAGACATCGAATTGCTAGTGAACATCGCGTATGCTATGATCCTTAGAAATCTGATTTGCATACACACATTAGGCAAATTGTCATGAACGATCACATTCAGAGTTTTCAGAGGTTTTATGGTAGACGAAGGATCAGATGCCGAATTATTATTTCTAATATTACTTGTGGGATTTGAGAAGGAGTAACAAAATTTGTACGAAGCACTCACGTGTTATATCGTAATGGCCAAATATACTGCAATCATTTTTCTTCGCAAGATTTACGTTAAGATTCACTTCACGTAAGTAAGTAACGATTACGATACTTTCGGCGCCCGCGACATAGTGAATGACAAACTCCTACCTATGAAATTAAGTTTTTATGATAGCTTTCAACATTCTTCAAGACTTACGTAAATTCCCTAGAGTCCTAAAATATTTTCTAATTCACTTTTATAATTTATCCCCCTTGGATAGTAAATTTGGTGAATATATTTTAATTTGTTTAAAATTAATTTATATATATTTTGAAAATTTTTTAATTATTCCATTTTTTTTATACCCTTCAGCAGATTTGATAGAAGCGTTTGTGCGAGTCTATGCAACACACAGGAGGACTGTAGATGGACTAATTTTTGGTTTTGTTATCCGTTCGTCCGTCTTGTTTTCTATTGTTCAACCTACAGATCGAAAGAAAAACGCTATTGAAAATGATTCGAATTGAACTACCATTTCGGCCGCTTCCAATATAAGGTTTTATTTTGAAAATTCATTACTGGCACGAATAGCTGCGCTAAATGAATTGATGTAGGGTATTCAATATCCTAATAAAGTCTTCTTTTTTGTTTTTAACTGTTATAATAATAATTTTGTCGATATTTCAATGCAGCTATAAAAATTATAAAATATGTCTTAGCAAAGGTTCGAACCCGAAAACCTTTCTGTGATATTGGAGAAATAGAAAATGTAGACAATCGTAGACTACGACAAGCGGAGAATGGAATTTCGAATTATGTGAGAGTATATATGACCGCACAACCGATACATATACATACATATATAGATACATAGATATATATGGGACGGAATGGGATGAGACTAACGATTGTTGCATTTCTCTAAACGATAATTTAGCTGAAGGTATTCATTGCAAATACATAATCAGTGGGCATGACTTCTGATGGTTCTGTTAATCGTTAGTGGTTAATCCTTTCGACGCGAAATCACTGTTTCACCTTTTTCTTTGTTCGCGCGCAAATTTTGTCATTGTAAAGAAACAAATATAGGCAAGTACTAGGTTTAGTAAGGGTGAGAAATAAATTCATAAATATAATAAGAAAAAGTTGTCTCTACAAAAGATTAGCTAAATATGTCTGACACCTTATTACATATTATTTTCAAATTGATGTTCACGTGCGAAACGGCGACGATGTTGCTTTAATTTCCGTATAAATTTTAATTCATCGGCAGTTAAATAACGTTTCGATAAACTGCGGCGAGTTTTCTGAGCGTTGACTTTCGCTTCGTGAGCAGCGCAAGCCGCTTTATAAGCGGCCTGCTTAGTGTTGGCAAAATCTTGGCGTGCATTACTTAATTGACGCAACAATTGCTCGACACGCGTTTTTGCGGCATCTAGTAGCTGAGATTTTTCCGCCACCTCAGCTTGTGCGCCATTAGCTGCTTGCTCAGCATTGCCGACATTGGCTTGAGCGGTTTGCACCGCCTGTGTTAACGTCTTTAACTGAGCTTGGGCCTGTTGAGCCGCCCTCACCGCCGCATTAATATTTGTTTGAGCATTTTGAAGAGAAGAAGTTTCTTCCTGTACAACAGCTTCGGCCTCGCGTACTTCTTGCTCTAACTGCTCAACAATTTGTTGTTTACCAGCCAAAGCAGCCTCGGCAGCCTTAGCTGCTTGCATCGCCTTTTCAGCTAACTGAGCTTTCACTTGATGAGCTGCGGCTTGACCCGCCGCGTTTTGCGCTTCCGAAGCAGCAGCGGCTTCCTGGGCGGCTTTCTGTGCTATGTTGGTAGCCTTCTGCTTAGGATTACCTTGCGATATTTTTTCAGCTCCCTTGCATTCTTGCTTACCGTTGCAATTGTTGCCGTCGACGCTAGCAAATGAGAAGTCGTTGTATAAGCCAGGTACCATACGTTTTCGATAAAACTAAATCAAAACACAAAGAATGGCAGACTTTGTTGAGTTTGGAACACATTGATATCAGTGCGGCTTACCCACCTTCTCGTCGTTCATATATCCTTGAGCCGCAGTTAAAGCACCTACTAATGTGAACAGATATATAATTAATCTTAAGCGAATTCTCATTTTATGTTTGTGTTTTGTTTTAAACACAACGTCTACGGTTTCTTCTTATCCGAGTGAAAATATGTTTGCATTCAATAATAAGAAAATAAGAAATGTCAGATAAAATAAAAGCAAAAAATATTTTTAGAAATAAATCCAAAAGGTTAAATATCTGGGAACTTTATTGATAAGAAATAAAGGGAGAGACAAACTTTCATGGTGGGCGTCCTAATGAAGTCAAACAATTAATTGGTGATCGTAAGAAGTCGATAAATGATCCTATAAAAACCAATAGCTAAGGAAACCCGCGCTCACGAGCCCGAGCTTTAATAGGTCGCAGTAACTGTAGTGTTACCCTTATCTACATCTTCCTAGATCACATCTAACATCTGAAGAAGCATACCGCATCTCTACGCTTTCCTGTTGCAAGCCGAATCTCTACGCCGTTTGCACAATAATCGCTGCACCGATCTGGCAAGTTATCCTTGCGATAAGCTCGCTGCCTGCATATCTTCTGGACGAATTATGTAATCTTGCATCCATTGATGTTATAAAGCAGCTGACGTTGACGAAAGAAATACGTCCCATACATCTTTTTACATGCAAGGAAAAAGGACAAGTATCAGAAAAGTTTCGCAAGATTTTCTCCAAACCGTGTTCCTCCATCATCATTCTTATCGACAAAGGCTTGCATTGCTAACATCGCAATTTTCAGACAAGTTAAAACATCCCACCCGTACTCGGCCCATTTTTGAACACCCTACACTAATTAAAAAATCACTAATTTGGCTCAAATTCCATCATCATCCATCGAAATGCTAAAAACTGAACGATGTTGCTATGTAAAGACCCATTTTATCTTAAAAATAGTTTTTATGTGAGAAGGATTAAAAGGTGATCCCGTCGGAAGGAAATTTTTCATATACTTTTTGTATGCTAGAGTACTATCATGAGGATCAAAGACGATCCTCTTTGCGGCGCCAAATTATGATTAATTTAAGTATTGTAAGATTATTTGAAGTGCTCTAATGCGCGACAGGTACGTTTGATTTCATTCGAAAATAAAACAGATGACTTCGAATGAAATTAAAAAATCGACCAGTAGAAAAGTAATGTCGGTCAACGATTCCGACATGTAGTTCTTTCTTGTTTAATTCACGGCATCAAGAGATATGTACTCGTAACTCAGCCCGGTATGAAGTTTTGATCTCATTCGAAAATGGAACAGATGACATCGAATTAAATTAAAAAATCTGTTCACGACGTTGTCTGACCGCTGGGTAAATAATATCGGTCATCGATTTCCGGCTTGTCGTTATTTCTGATTTACTCCTTAATCTTAGCAGACGTGGGCTCGCAACTCAGTGCGGCACGATTACATTAACAATAGTGTAGTGTGATCGCATACCGTCGTATGCATCCACTTTGAAGTGCGACATTGCGAATTATGCTGAATTTGCATAATTCTGTAACAAAAAAAAAGTAAAACAAAAATTTTGTCGCACTTCAACTGGCTGGGTATGGCATTACGAAATGCAATACAATGCCAGGCGCCCCAATAAGTGTTAACGTAGCATAAAACCACCTGTAGATTTAAGTACAAATAAGACACTTCAAGAAATAAAGAAATCAATTGTTTAACAGCAATTCATAACTAAGCGTTGTATCCGCTCAAATATAAAAGGCGTTAAATCCGCCTAAGCTTTAGCTAGGGACCGTCTCTTGCCGAGCTCCATTGGCACTACATGAGACGGATAGACTTGGCGTTCTGCTTGCCAAGGAAGCATTCATAGGGAATCCTACCTAATAATACGACAACACATTCGAACAACGACACATTGCTCCATTAGTATTTCAAAATTTTATTACAATAGCAACGCAGTTCCAGCACGAGAACAAAGAATAAAGCACGGCAATTAATTGCGATCGTATGTTTGTTTTTCTCGATAATAAATGAACAATGGGTGAATGGAATAAGAAAATAATAAACTAGCAATGACTTGTTAAACGACAAAAAAAAGTATACAATCATAAGTGACTGTATACGTATGTGTGTACAAGGTAATGAATTACCTTGTGACACCGAGTGAACGAAATATAAGGAAAGAATGGGAATCTAGGAAGTTGTATATAGCCTGGTCAGAGTGTAGAAGATCATAGACCTGTAATTACTTGGGAAAATCACTATATAGAGTGAAGAAATTATAAATACTATTATAAGGACCTCTGGTATACTCGCCGAGTATAATCCTAGCATAGATTGTCGAACGGACTTCAATAGATGAAAGTCACACGACTTGTTTTCGTCCTGCAAGTTACTCCTACGGATTTTGTAGTAAGATAAGTATGTTTTATTCATTTTCTTTTGTAGCAAGCAACTTGTTATTTTTTTTGCGAGAATCATAGGGATGCTGTATGCTATAAGTAAGAACGGAATGGAATGGGTCTATCACATTCGAAGTAAATTAATTAGCATACTTCGAATGTGATCAACAAACTGATTGGCAACACCAATTCGATTTCGAAGAGAGGCATAGTGTCGAAGAAAATTGCACATCTTCCTCCTTCTGAATCGAACCACCGACTAGGTAACCCACCACCGTCTGAAATAAAATACATCATCACACGCTAGCATTACATGCTTTAAGTGCCAAATTTGGGATTTTAATAGAAAAAGTCATGCTGTCCGTCCGATGACCAATGACGACAGGTCTTTTAATTTAAATGTATGCTTTGAAGTGTTCATTTTTTTTAGCCGCAAGGTTGTTTATGGACAACTGCACCCCTTTCTGTGTTCTGGTAAAGAAAATCGCCAACTGATTGCGCGTAACGGATTTTTCAAAATGGGAAGTGGTCCTAAGTATAGTCTATTTCTATTCATTTTCAATATGATTCGCCATTAAACTAATATATATTAGTATATGAAATATAGGCAAAACATCTCGAAATCTACGCAGGTAAACGGTCGGACATGCATGCTTGAATCGGTTTAGGAAATGATCCTGAGCCGCTTGTTATAAAAAATGTTGCATAACTCGTCGCAAATGATGCATCAGAATAAGGCAGGAAAAGACTCCCCCCACTAATGTTTGCTTTTTATTTCAAAATGTTAACGATTTTGACAAATGGCCATCGAACTGCTTTATCTGGAGCCCCAAGACTATGTTACTAGGGGCAAAGATCAATTAAAAAATGGTGCATTTAATTATAATGTATACCCGTCTATTCAAAACGTCTTTTTCAAAATGGGTGAACTTAACTGTACTGATAGAGACCGCCGGTATAAATTGCATGTGTTACTGTTTTAATATCTCAAAGCGAAAGCTACACACCGCTATTGGGCGAAAATAATCATATTTTTAGACTACAATTATTCCCTTTTGTCACCGAAGTGATCGATTATGGCACAGACGCATTAAAATATTGTCACAAAAGATTGATTCTTTGTGCGCACTATACACTATCTCTGCGTAAGACAATTTCCTCTATTGAAATTTCTTTAATTATAAATTAATTATAAATATAATCCTAATTAATTAAAATTTCTTTATATACATTTCTGCGTTGCAAGAAGTGAATAAGCTTTAATGAGTGCTTGCGAAAGGGCTTCCAATGATCGTAGAAGGAAAAATTTCTTCCTTTTTTTTTTTACTTTTGCGATTAAATTGATAAATAAAAATAAATCTTAAATAATCGCATTTTCGCTATCCAAATATATACTCACGCATACATGCACACGCACACATACACACGAAATCAAATATATAAAAATATATTGCAAACAAATGTGTCTACACTCTCTGCCGTATTAAACGACGACGTTGTTGTTTCAAATTTTGTATATGTTTTAACTGGCCGGATGTTAGAAAGCGTTTAATCGCATGACGACGTGATCTTTGAGCATTTACTTTAGCTTCGTGGGCAGCACAAGCTGCCCTGTAGGCAGACTGCTTAGTGTTTGAATAATCTTGGCGGGCTCCACTCAGCTGGCGTAATAATTGATCGACCCGCGTTTTTGCGGCTTCCATTAGCTGTGCTTTCTCAGCTAATTCGGCTTGGGCACCGGTGGCTGCTTGCTCGGAATTACCAACATTAGCTTGAGCTGTTTGAACTGCCTCCGTTAAGGTTTTAAGCTGCTTTTGAGCCTGCTGGGAAGCGCGTATAGCCGCTTGAACATTGGAATGGGCACTGTCGAGAGACGAAGCCTCCTCTTGTACTACAGCTTCTGCCTCGCGTACTTCTTGTTCCAATTGTTCGACGATTTGCTGTTTACCCGCTAAAGCAGCCTCGGCTGCCTTGGCTGCTTGCATTGCTTTCTCGGCTAATTGCATTTTCACTTGACGAGCGGCAGCGGCGCCAGCTGCATTTTGAGCTTCGGATGCAGCTGTCGCTTCTTGAGCAGCCTTCTGTGCTATATTGGTTGCCTTCTGTTTCGGATTACCTAAACTGAGTTGCTCCGTACCTTTACATTCTTGTTTCTTGCAACCTCCCATACCATTCAGGGCAGACATTTGCAAGTCATTGAACCAAGCCGGTACCATGCGTTTACGATATATCTATTTGAAAGCAATTTGAGTGCACAGAGATTGTAAGTAGCACAGAAATTGCAATAGCAAAGCCTTTACCTTCTGTTCGTTGGTATTACTCTGGCTTTGTACACTAGTGATTATTGCTAATACCAACATTAAAATATTTATATCATAACATAAGCGAAATGTCATAATGACTACACACAAAGTAACGAACTTCCGAACAAATTTCTTTTAAAAAACATTTGATTTTGATATCAAAACTTCGACATTGACTTTTAGATATTGATTGCCACGTTCTACACTCACCTCAGCTGAGGATTCCGACAATAGCTATGATTTTATTTATACATTGTTAAAAATCAACTTCTTCTTTGGCCAGATCACGTAAGCAGTCATGGCAATTCAGCTGCTCACGGATGTAACGCGCGGTCCCATATGTGAGCAGCCGCAGGTAATGTTCTAATGTTCTTCGTGGTTGTGGACTTGATTTAGGACCAGATCTTTGAAGATAGCATTAACACTGCAACTATGACGGCTTTGTACAGCGTTCACCTATTTTGTTCGCGTTAGTGCCTAACAAACCAAAAGTGCATTAACTGAATTTGAGGGCGATTTTCATATCTCAGGGGAGATATAACGACATTCATTCTCAGGCCAGAAGCAGTGTGAACAGATGTATCGATTTATATAAAGGTGTGGTATACTATTATATATAATCTATAAGTCAAGTCCCTATTCAACTTCTAAGGTCGTTCGCACATTTTCATGGAAGATCGGAAGAGCAGATACAATGCCAAATAAATATTTGGCAAAACTAATAGAAATTGCAACTCTGTTTTTTTTCTCGAATTAAGACTATAGATGGGCGGAGAACGGTACAAAGCAAAAATAGCCAATTTTGTTCTATAAATTAATGACATTATATCTCTTTTGTTTTGTTTTTTGTTTTCTAAACAAACAAATCCTCTTTTTCGGTAATTGTTCGTTCGCTTGACATAAATTTAAAAAATTGAAAATATTTTCGATGTAATGAATTTTTTCCCTTACATTTTATGTTTTTTGATATTTACGAGCTTCGGTTACAAGATTGATCAGAATAAGAATGTAATGTATTTTTATATAATCTATTCATCCCTTTTTTCATGATCTTTCTGCATCATATTCGTTAGTTTAGTACGAACAAGAAAAGATGTCGACCGATCCATTTACAAATTTTTTAGACGACGGCGAAGAAGGCGTAATCATTGATCCACAAGTTGCCGCATTAGTTAACAATGCTCGACTGGGCAAACTCCGAAAGAACGTGGCTCAGAACGCATTCCAGGATCGAATAGACGCCTCGAAAGCACAGAAATTAGCCGGCG